TGTTTAAACCGCACGGCTTCGTTGTGTTACTAAGTGATTGCGATGGTACGCTCGGCGTGATAGTTCGTTAATTATATTGTTTAATGTAGTAGGTCCCTGTGTCCGAATCATCATGCATAATATAATGAGTCAATTATCTTCGCTTTAAATCGCTGGTCTTTTCAGCTTTTGGACCAAATAAATCTGTAAATTTGCACCCATAAAGCTCGTGTGAGGTTTTTTAATCTCAGCTATAGTTTAACTGCACTCTATGTTCTTATCCGTAATTTGTTTATGGTTTTAGTTTACAATTCGGAACCTTTATCCTGTAATGTTTGTTTTTGGTTGCTTGAATTCTCTTCGGTGAAAGAGTGCGCGGGGGAAATGGGGTCTTTTATCGCCCAAGTGATCATGTCAGAACGCACGTGAATATAAAAGCTGGTCACAGAAGCCACTGGATCATAAATATGTGGATAAGTTCATGGGTGACTTGGAGGATAGACTAAATGTGCACCTGTCTACAGAATTCGGACTCGAAATTCCTTCACCTACCAACTCGTTCTATGTGATGCTGAATTTATTGGGTTGTAGTTCTCAATCCATTTCTCGCTCTCTATCTGTCATGTCTGAAGCGCTAATACGTAGGAACCCGTATAAGGTATTATATTACCTCATTTCTTAAACTATTCAGCTAATTTCCTACTTAGACTGCAGGCATTCCGTTTCGGCGCTGAACTAACTCAGCAACGGAACCAGCGAACGAGTCTGTAGCTTGCCTCATGTCATTGATGAAAGACCTAAATGAAGGCTCGTAAAGGATTCCGTGTTGTCGAAGTACGCTTAGGTAAACGACACGCTCACGATGCAGGAACTTGGATGCATTGGCAACAGCCGCCAGGACTGATATTTCGGTCTTGAAATTGTTCATGCGTCCCTGGCCAAGCCTGATGTCTCAGTTCTGGATATTTGTGAGGATTATTTTGATTGACTGTAGACGGAGACGGTGAATTCACTGCAGGCTAGTTTTCGTAAAAATCGGGAAACGCTAAGAAAGGATCATGCAAAGAATAAGAGCATCAAAGCATTGTGGATTGCTGAAAAGCATGGTTCTCATGCGACAGCAATGGTATATGAACGGATGGTTTGCGCGCGAATCCGATGTGGTAAAACTTACAGAGAAATTATAGAGAACAAGGTAAACTGTTTTTGACATTTACTTTTTGATGTGTTAGTTATAAGCCTTATCGCTGTCCTGAGTAATCCATTAATTTCTTTGCTAGTGTTTGTCTCACTAAGTACTGCTCCCTTTGATTTTCCAGGCGGAAGGTGTAAATCCCCGTGCTTACCCGCTCGCGGGACCGGAACTAACAAACAAACTAATCGAGTTGGTGAAACAAGCCGCCTCGTACAAACAGTTAAAGAAAGGAGCAAATGAAGCTACGAAAGCGCTTAACCGTGGGAAAGCAGAATTCATTGTGATGGCGGCGGATATCGAACCCCTCGAAATAGTTCTTCACCTTCCTCTCCTTTGTGAAGACAAAAATGTGCCATATGTATTCATCCCCTCGCAGATGGCTCTAGGAAGAGCCTGTGGTGTTTCCCGATCAGTTGCTGCAGTTGCTGTAACAGACAGCGAGGGATCGCAGTTGAAGCCCCTAGTTGTGGCTATACAACAAAGCATCGAAAAGCTCCTTATTTGAGTGATGCATTTGTATGAAATAAACTTTCATAAAAAATTGAACTGCCTTCTTTTTAGAGCAGATGTTCCCTTTTCTGAGATATAAATCACCGCGTTGTAGCTATTCTAGAGAATAGCATTTTAATTCATTTACGCGCAGTGGTTTACAACAATGAGAAACCACACGAAATATATGCTGTTTTGGGGGGGGGGAGGGGAGAGTCACAACGAGACTGCACTTTGACATGGTGTGATGGCTTGTGCAACTCTGTGACCCAACGAGCTACACAGGATGACTTTTGTCGAGCCAAAGGCCATGCCTGTAAGGTCAATGGGTAGAGTTCAGACTAAGTCCAACTTCCTGGTCCTCCAGGTTGGGGGTTCGACTAGAGTTGGTGTCGGTAAAACATGTTGAAGGAGTGGTTGATGGAGTGGTTAATGGACCTCCAATTCGCCTTAACCGCTGCCTTACGGTTGTATTCTTGTCAGAACTGAAGGCTTGACTGAGAACCTTAATCGTTCCACTTAGTTTCTGGACACCCTGGCAGTACCCTTCCATAAAGCTCCGGTGTATTCAAAGACTGTTCCACTTTATGCGTACGGTCGGAATTCGTCGATTGCCGGTCAGTGAGACCATTTGCGATAAAAATGGACAGATTATCCACAATAAAGAACAACGACTTGATCGCTGGGCAGAGTATTTTAGTGAGCAGTTCGATTGCCCAGTGCTAATGCGGTTATTCCAGCAATTGCGGTGGAAACCCCATGGGTGGTAACATGCGAGCCTACATCAGAATCGGAAGTACGAAGCTGCATTTAATCACTCAAGAACGGGAAGGCTGCGGGACATGATGGGCTTCTCCCTATTCTTTTCGAGGTGAGCGGTGATTCTCTTGTTGACTCAATTACTAGCTTCGCAGCATTTGGACGGAGGAGCGTATCCCTTTGTCCTGGGGTGAATCGTTGATCGTCCCGATCTAGAAGGGATCACTCAACGACTGAACTAACCACCGTGGGATTAGTTTAGTTGCGATAATCATAAAGTGTTATCTGTGATAATTCGTCGCCTGACATCCTTACGGGAGAGGAATATCCTCAACAGCAAGCTGGATTCCGACCAGTTCGCGGGTGCATCGACCAAATTTCCCCCTGCGTCAAGTCCTCGAACTGCGTCACACACATCGTCGGCCAACGATCACAGTGTTCCTTGACCTAAAAGGAGCCTTGGATTCAGTTGACCGTCAAGCTCTCCTGGGGTTGCTACTCCGCAAAGGAATGCCGCGGAAGTATGTAAACCTATTGCGGTCGATGTATCTACACACTTCTGGTAGCGTAAGGGTCTACGATGGGCTAAGTAAATCGTTTGAAACCAGGAGCGGTATTCGTCAAGGGTGCCCTATTTCGCCATTTTTGTTCAATTTCGTCGTAGACGAAGTACTGAAGAACGTACCCAGTGGTCTCCAAAACGTAGGTATTGAATGGGCAGCTGGAGAAAAGCCGTGCGATTTAGAGCTCGCTGATGACATTGTATGCGTGTTCGAATCTATGGAGGATGCGCAAAGTGCTCTTGACAGACTTTCAAGCTCTGTAACTCCTTTCAACATGCGCTTTGTACCTTCAAAGTGCAAAGAGATGCTACAAGACTGTCATCTGCCCCAGCGCTGATGTTTGATGGTCAACAATTAGGTGTAGTGGAATGTTTCACCTACTTAAGTAGTTGCGTTTCAAATGACGGTAGCATAGTCAATGAAGTAACCGCCCGCATTTCCAAGGCTCGAACAGC